TCTCCGAATGTTCTAATTTCGCACTCATGGACTTTTTTTTATGTACCTACCTATTTCATTCAATATTATTATCCAAATAATAAAATTATTTTGACAATTGTCAATTGTCAATTATCAATTTTAAATACCAAATTGAGTGAACTGGAACGCTGTGACACTGCCACTTTTAATGCCTAGGCATCAGGAAAGTCCACTTTTACTGCCTAGGCAGTAAAAATACAACTTTTGATCCTGTCAAGTGTCATTAAAAAGCCGCTTTTACTGTCATTTTATTGATTTTTCTGACTTTTATCTCAGAAAAATTGATTTTTCCGACTTTTATCATGGAAAAATAGATTTTTTCTCCAAACGTCAAAAAATAGTATATTACATACCGAGGTGGAAAGTGTTTCATTACTGTCGAGAGATTTAAGTTAACTGAAATCTCGAGACAGTAATGAAACTTTTCACCGAGGTATGTACCTATACTATTTTATTTACAATCATTCGAATTTTGAAATTTTCATTTGGATTAAAACTCAAAATACAATAATTAACAATTTCATTTACTTTCGGCCCACGGGTCGAAAGTTTACTTTCGACCCGTGGGCCGAAAGTAAGAGTCAAAAAATATAATAAATTTTAAAAATTTCAAAGTCAAAAAAGTGACATTTTCGAACTTTTTAAAAGTCAGTAAAGTCAACATTACATGTATGATTGTAAATAAACGTCTTTTGTTAACCCCTGTCAAGATGTCAGAAATTTTATTTCTATGCTGCTAGGTAAATCCAGCGGGTTAACACCTGTCGAGGAGGTAGAAATTTAATTTTTAATGAAGAATGAAAAAAGTTTGTATTTAATTTTTATGCTGCTTGGCAACCCCAGCAGCAAAAGTACTTTTAGTGCCGCTGGAGCGGTAGTAGAAGTACTTTTACTGCCGCTCAACCATTCATACTTGTCCCCGAGCTTACCCCATTCGTTTGGAGAAAAAATAGCGTGTTGCATACGGAGTAAAGGCACTTTTTTGTGCTTCAGCAGTATTGTAAGCCTCACTACGTTCGGCTCACAAACCTACCGCTTCAGCACAAAAAAGTAAAGCTTCTACTCCTAATACAACAATATACTATTTCCGACTTCCATCTCCGAAAAATAGGTTATTCCGACTTTTATCTCAGAAAAATAGATTTTTTCTAAAACTGTCAAAAAATGATGATGTTCGCACACTCATGACAGTTTGCGAAGTGACACTTTTTTTCCCAGGTATTGATTTTTTAACGTTCCCATAACTAACTAAAATCTCTCGACAGTAATGAAAAACTTTTCACCTCGGTATGTAATATACTATTACATATTTTAAACCATATACCTGTGTAATTTTTACATTCCTTACTGGTTTGCAGATTCGAAATTGTCACTTTACTTTTGTTTACTTCAAAGCAAGCCGAAAGTGTCTGTTTTCCTGTCACTTTCGGCCTGGAGAACTCACTTTCGGCCCTGATAAATTGTTCCTTCACACCTAAACACCAATCGGTGCATTGTTTGTATTTAAAAGTAGAATGAAAGTTTGTTGCTTGGCAATTTCGCAAATGACATTTTGACAAAACCACTCGCCTGCTTGGCAATTTCGCAAATGACATTTTGACAAAACCACGAGCCGTCAGGCGAGTGGTTTTGTCAAAAATTTCATGAGCGAAGTTACCAAAAAGCAACAAGCTTGAATAAAACCAAGAGAATAATTTTGCCTACATAATTTTTTCTTGAGTGGTATTCGGCTGGACTATTTCACGAGAAAAACAAGCCAAATTTTTATTTGGAAAATTTATTTACTTTAGGTGACACTTGTCAAACTCAATTAGACTATCCAAGATGCTGTCAAACTTAAATTAAAATGTCCGCCAAGAGCAGTGATGTGCCTGTAGACTGTAGACAATGTCAACGTAAACAATTGATTGTCTACTCGTAGACAATTCGAATTGTTTACGTGAGCATTTGTCTACACATTGTCTACATGCGACGTAAACAATAACTTATTTTAAAAAATTCGAAAAAAAATATCAAAAGTTACTATACTATCACTATCACTTCGATATCAGCATTCACTGATTATAAAATATCAGGAAAACCAATAATAAAATAAAATAAAAATAATTTAAAAAAAGGAAAGTGTGAGGTTAGAATTTAACGTCATTTATATTATTTTACATTGTTGACACGTTGTCTACATTGTCTACATTATCTACACGTAAAGTAGACAATGAAAGTCTACGTGTAGACGCACATCCCTGGCCAAGAGGCACACAAGCCCGTTGTTTACTTGTAAAAGTCATGTGTTTTGGATAGGCTGACAATTCCAAGATGCTGTCAAACTTAAATAAAAATGTCCGCCAAGAGGCACACAAACCCTTTGTTTGCTTGTCAAAGTCACGTGTTTTGGATAGGCTAATAGTTTTTTACCTTAACCACACAAAATTTTGTCGCTGAAAAACCATCATGTTGGTTTTGTCCAGATAGGCACAGGTAGGAGTTTTGTCTATTGTCCGTCGATTTTAATCTGACACTTTTCGTATGAGGAGCAAGGAGGTGAAGTATATAGCAAAATCAGGTGTGACGTCAGGTGACCATTGGGCGTTCTAATGTAGGGAGCCACCAGCTCACATTTTTTTAGAGTATCAGAATAAAATCGACAGACTTTAGGAAACCGGCCCTTCCTATGATATTTTGCCAGTGTAAAACACTCTAGTGAAATAGTCAATAATTAATGGTTCAAAATAAAACAGTATACATAATTCGGTGGAAAATTTTCACATTATTGTCTCGAGAATTGATTGACCTCGGCACTTCGCACCTCGGTCAACCATGGTAGGTATCTCTTGACAATAATGAAACACTTTCCACCCCGGCATCTAATATAATATTACTCGCCTTAAATTGACTTGTTTTTACACTGTGGATACGTTAACTAGATGCATACTTGGTCGTGTTTAAACATTAACTGACGTAAAAATCTAAACGATGCTACTGACACGTTACTGACAGGATTATACTCGTGCGCACACACATTTTGTCCGTATTCACCTCTACTGTCCCAATTCACCTCAGATGACAGCAGGTTACCATATATGGTTGGTTCCAATGTTTGGTTTTAACAAAAATAATCTCCACCGTTTATTACATCAATGATACATTTATTAATTCGCCTATAGAAAACTAAATCTAAACGATATAATACAGTGTTTTCTTCCATGTGATATAAAAAGTACATTTTTATGCTATAGTTTTGTTATTAAAAATAGGATGCAAGGTTATTTTTCAAAAATATATACGTATAGGTATATGATTGCACAGAATACATTTTCTTAAAACTTCTATGAAGGATTATACATTTTCATGGGCATTTTTGTCCTATTTTTAGAATATCTTAAAAATAGAAATTAAGGAACTGAAAAGTTAGGTACCTAGTAAGATCATCTAGATCTTATTGATACATTTCTCCCTTGATTTTTCCTAAATCTACACAATATCTTATGAAATTATACTTAACACACGAGTATTATTGAGGATTTAAATTGAGATTCCTATAAATAATTTCTGCTTTTTTTGCAATTTGTGCCAACAATAATCACGCCTATTATATTTACTTCCATTCCAAGTCATATAAAATTGTATTTAAATGATGTGCCTTACCTACATAGGTATTGCTGTTTACAAAATATTGCAATTTTTTTGAATTAATAGAAAATAATACATTTTAAAGAATATAAAATATCACAAATTTTCTTTGTCAATAAAAATTGTTGATGATTTGCATTACTTTTCCGCATTTTATTAAAGCATCGGTATTTGTGCGCCAGCAGGATATTTAGTCTAATTCTATGTTCCATCGTTGAATCGTTGATTACTTATCTCCGAAATACCAATCCTAAACTTTAGCCAATAATACATATTTTACCTACCTGAATCGGTCATAAAAAGTATAAAAAATCTTTCTAGAAAATGCCTTTTCACATAACTCTTATCAATAATCCAAACTTTCCTATAAAACATGGACTAGGTAAGCCAGGATTTGTGACTCCTAGTTCTTTTTTCACATTGCAATATTACATAGCTTATTCTTCTTAGCAACTATAAAAACGTGGTCTGAGCACATTGCTTAACTACACAAGTTCACAAGAAAACAGGATATGTGCAAATAATTTTTTCCGATATTTAGACCAAAGGCCCATCAAAACAATTTCTGAATGAGAATAGTACGACTCGTGCAAATGCTTAAAGTATGATTTAGGAATACCAATATAGACATCAAAAAGTACTCCACAAGAATTAATGTAGTCCAATGTGGTTTATTACAATTTTTTGAAATTACCTACTTCTGCATATTATTATTGGAAAATGAAAATTGCGCATCTACAGTAAATAATGTTATAACAAGAGATTCACTTACCTTCTAATATAGTCAAAGTACTTTTACTTCTTATGCAAACCATTTTCATTATTGCTAATATAAGTGAATGGTACCAAATGAAATTTCAATTACATTAAAAATTCCTTAAACTCTAAATATTCAATTAGATATGGATGAACGTTCATACAATTACTGGGATAAAAATAAGGCTCCAAAGTTTCTAAGTCGCCTACCAAATATTAAATTGACTCAAATCATACGTTTTCTTCCTAAAATTATACATTTCGCCTAGCTTGAAAATATTAGTTTTACCTGAAGTAGTCAGGCTGCCAAAAGTTAAAGAAAATCACAACCATTTCATAAACGAGAAGCAAAATTCAATTAGGTTAAAGTTAAAGATTAATGTCAAATGCAAAAGGACAACTTTGATTATTTGGTATCTTAAAAATTCAATTTACGTTTGCATTTCAAATCAACGCAGTTAAAACTATCTAAACACTACTTAATCACACCAAAAACACCAAAATCTCACTCCATTTTAAAAACTAATCAAAACCTTAAATGATATGTTAAAATAAGAAAAAACCTAAATCAGTCGGTCCAGCGATGTGTACATGGGTCATACAGATGTCTCCGAATTCAATCTTAAAACAAACTTATTACTTTTCGGATCAACAACTTCTTCTGTAATATTGAAATGAGGTAATTTCTTCACAACGCAGAGCAAAGACACATCATTTTGCCTTAGTTGAAACAAAATTCCATCATTTATAGGCCTAGTGAGCAGTTCTTCGCATATCAAGGCCCAGGTTTGAACTCCTTTTTGCTCTTTCTCGTTCTGTAGTACCGGTTCGCTGATTAAAAATGGTTCCAAAAATGCTTTAGGGGTTAAATCGTTACTTAAACAATTCGCCAAATGAGTTAAAATTGAATCAACAGTGTGTCTAGGTTGCTGCCTAGTAATTCTAAGATATTTTTGCAAAGCTCTGGCCATAGAAGGAAAAATTGCTTGAGCGGCTTCATGAGGATCCATTGGAATGGCTGATAATTGATCGTGGTGGAGGCGTTTGATGTGTGTAAAAGCTTCTTCAGCAGCAGTCACTAATCTAGCTCTACGTTTCTTAACTCTACGCTCATATTCATGCTCTTCATAAAATCTCTCATTGTGACTCGAATCTCTTCTTCTAGCATGAGCAGCAAGCATAGCTCGTGACTGTGATTGTTGAATTTGTGAATTATTTGCACCATCTACATCGTAAAACTTGAAACAAGTTGAAGTTTTGCGCGATTTTGATACAGGTATACGTTCTAAGTATGGATTATAAATAGGAAATTCTGTATAGTATTTTTCCAAGACCCATACTGCAGCTCTTTGGATACTTAACTGGCCAATACCATAGGCTTGGCTAGCTCCATCAGGACTTCTTACAATTTTAATGTAATATAATGGCTGTAAATGTCTTATTTCCACTAAAACAACTGCTAAATAGTGGATGAAAAGTAATGTATCAGTAAGACTAGATGCATAGGCTACTAGAGCTTTATAATCTACAGTTTCTTCAGGAGTTGTTGCAGCTCTTGCAGTTTCCGTTACTTGCACAATGTAAAATAGCCAATAGGCGAAGCAACAAATTAAAACAAACACCAAAACACCAGCGCGAAATAAAAAAAACCTTGGCAACGTGGCATGGGGTTTTCTTAGAAAAACAGCCCAAGCACCAATGGCTAAAATAATCATTTTGAACGCCAACGATACTAACTGACCCTTGCACTCAGCTCCACAAGCTAACAATCGGTCGCCTTCGGCAAGACCTAATCGATTTGACAGAGCAGGAAAAAAACCTAACTTTGGAAATACCACCATAGCTACAGGACTCAGAAATGCTACAGTTGCTAATATATAGGTTATCAGTGCGCCCATATAGCGCTGACACATAAAACCTATGCCAGTATCTGGCTCCCCTGGCCAATTGCTCACATCTTCTGTTGATTGTGATTGTTCAGAAGTATTTCCAGTTATAGCTGTAGTGTTCTCGCCCCAATTGTCATCTTGCGGCAATATTTGCACTTCAATTATCTCTTGACCGTCTCTATTGTCTGGCGTTAATGTTACAGATGTTTGAAACGGCGCCATGTCTTCGTTCTTTCGCGACTTACTGCTTCTGCAACAAAAATGTTTTGCTTATAGGTACTTGAGTGGTTACAATACACTTTGTTTTGGGGTTCTCTCCACCGTTATTCCATTTTGCAATCAATAATTTTATCACCATCAATCATCTCTAATTTTAATATAATCTGAGGAATTGGGATTTTTGTCCAAGAAGTCTGGGATAATCGGACACAAGGGAGCCAAGATATAAGGAGTTTAACTACAATAACTACTTCTAGATAATCAGAATAGATGCTCTGTCAAAGAAATGTTAAAGCAAAATACTGACCGGAAAAAGGAAAAGAACCTGAGTGCAAGTTAATAAAAAATATACGTTTGTTAATAAGTAACTACAGAAATAATAGTTTTCCTAACCCAATGGAAAATCACCTTATAGAGGAATAAATGCCTAAGCTAATCCAAATCTTGAAATGTTGTAATTTTGCTGCAAAAAAAAATATGAACACGTTTCACCCAATAACATTGCGCCACTATAAAGGTTTTAGGGGGACTGATTGAGAATTAATCAGAACAAATTTACTCTGCTCATTATGGTCTTCACAACTTGTAAAGACATGCCACAATTATTTATCATAATGTCTCACATTTCAATTTCATGTTCCCTATGCCAAATGATTTTCTAAAAATTGGACTAAGGTCATTTATAGATTGCAATACTTAACGTAAACAACCATCCTTGTTGGTCAACCTGTGCATAAAACATTGTTGTGAGAAATGTAAGACACAAACACAGTCAAAATCTATAAATTATTTTTAGTACATCAATTCAAGGCATTAACATAAGTAATTGAATATTTTATTTAGTCATTTTAGAACCTCATTTCCAACTCCAAAAACTTCAAAAAACTATTTCAAAGGCGGGGCTTTTCCCACATCAATGTGAGAATGTTCGCGATTATTTAATGAATTATAGGTAGATAGAGCCTGAAATTGTTACCCTATAATAATGGAAATTCCTTAAAGAAAAAGAGGTAGGTAAACTAAAATAAAAACACATAAAGAAGATTAGACATAATGTATTGTCTTTAGTACAAACGTTTACATGTTCATAAAATTCTGATTTTTGGAATTCTCTATGATTACTTACAAGACGTATAGATTTGGGGTTATGAAGAATAGAAAAAGCCTTATTTCATCTATGTTATACGATAAATATGATTTGTGCTTGTGGTTACTCAAGTAGTTAATGGGTCACATTCAAAATCATAACAGTAATACTAAAACAACCCACACAAATGTAGTACATATTCCTAAAAAGAAATTTTTGCAAAAATTTATAAAAATTATTATTATTTCTACATGGATAGTCCAACAACATAAATCATGGAACCAATGGGAAACTTTATTTTATTTATAGCTATTAATTCCACCAAAAATGACATTCTTGATAAAAATGTAAAAGTTTAAACGTTTTTTTTTTTGGGCCTAAGTAAGTAACAAATAAGGTTTCTATATTTTACCAAAGAATGACAAAAAGTTTGTGCGTAATAATTCTGTTTTTATTAAATGTGCGCTAAATCACATCAAAATGGTGATGGAAAGCAAAACATCAGATTTGTATAATAACATAGCAAAATGGATACAAATTAGGAACTTTCAGAACTTTTTGTCATTCAATATTAACAAAAACAAGGACATTGTTCACTACGAAACTAAAGCATACAACTGTTTTGAAATATTGTACACTTTTTCCTGACAAAAATAAACTACCCCTAATTGATTCAGCCTTAAAGCAATATTTTTGGAACTTTTTTATTCTATCCCGCTCAAATTCATTACATATACAACATAGAAACACTGTTATCTATTCTGGTAGTTGAGTAGCTTTATATATACATTTTTTTTTTTTTGTTAAATCCTATGCAATTGGGACAAATTAAAATATGTAGTATCAAAATAACCATAAAGTAAACATGTGATTACTTACATCAAAAGATAAACAATACATAAAAAAATTAAAATTATTTTCACAATAAATTATAAATAATTATAAAAATCTTCTTTTTTATAATTTATTTACACAGTATTAGGTAGTTCAAACGTATTATTATTATTTGTGCAAAGACCATCGAGTTTTTTTAGGGTAGTCAATTTTGTTGTTTTATTTATTTTGTCTTATATTATTATGCGCTAAATTTCATCAAAAATGATATTTTCAATAGCAATAATTATTAATAAAAACGTTTTCCATTTGTTATCAACTCTATGGACCACCATTTATACAGCAGCAATATTTATATAGTCAATTAAAGTCAAGCCTTTCTCACATTTTTTAGACTAAGTCCATAATATTCTATCTGTATAAAAATGGCACATTAAGTGAAGCACACACTTGACACAGATTACATATAATTAGACAGTTAGTTATTCCATCACAATATAAGTTTATTCTCATTAATTTCGCAGACCCTTCGGTTTAGTTTCACTCTTAAGGGAGGACGTTAATGACTCAAATCCGTTACAACAAAGTGACAAGTAAATCTAAACCAAGTTGTATTCCCGCAAGTTCGATTGTAGGATGGTATCTTTGACAGCTGCAAACACAAATTTTATATTCTCAGTGTCTGTAGCACACGTAAAATGAGAATAAATTATTTTTTCACTATCTGGGTTTAGGTCGACAAACATTCTTAAAATAAATTCTCTAGCTGCTATGGCGTCCCGTTGAGGACCATCATATTCAGGGAAATAATCAACCAAGTGAGAATACATAATTTTTTCTTCTAGAAGATCCTTTTTGTTCAAGAACAATATAACAGACGAGTGCTGGAACCATGGATAAGTAATAATAGTTTTAAATAGGGCTTTGGACTCTTCCATACGATTTTCGTTTTCAGACTCGAATAAAATCTGATCATATTCACTGAGAGCCACCAGAAAAATAATGGACGTAACGTTTTCAAAGCAATGGATCCACTTTCTTCTTTCAGATCTCTGACCACCAACATCGACCATTCTAAATATAATGCTGTCGAGATCAAATGGGTACTCAATTATTCCAGTAGTTGGTGCTCTTGCCCTCAAAATGTCCTGTTCGGTGGGTAAATAGTCGGGAGCCTTTATTCGATCTATATCACTTAAATAATATTTAGCAGAATCAGTTAACTGATATTCTCTACGTCTATCATAACATTCTTGTATTCCATTATCATTCCACAGGTCCCTAATGGCCTCAACAAATGGACTTTCAAAAGTAGTTACTGTTTCATAATCAATATTTTTAATAAGTTCAGCTTGTTCGCGATGAGAAGAGTCATTATATTGAATTTTAAGCATATCCATAGCCTTGATCATACTTTGCATAGCCATAAAAATATTTTGGTAGACCAGCTTAATAAAGGATCGTTTGTCATCGTCTGAATAACCTGCGCCATGGATGATGCGCATTTGTTTGATGAATGTGGACTTGCCGGACTCACCAGTACCCAGCAAGAGTAGCTTAAGTTCGCGGCGGGCATCTCTTTTATCTCTGCGCAACTGCTTTTCAATTTCTGCGTTAATTCGTTCCTGCTCACGAGCCTCATCAGACTGACAACACTGTGGGCACTGCATGGTCAACACTGTTTATTTGATCAACTCAATCTTCTCTAGTAGTAGGGGGTAGGAAGGCTTAGTTCTGCGCTATTGGGGCCCAGACCAGCTTTTTTCTTGAACAAAAGAGAACTGTGTGTTAATTTTTTTCGTAAGTCCACCCATGGGTTAAATGTACAAAAAAAACAGAAAATGAAGAAAAGTCGTGAAAAAAACCTCGGGAATAACCTAAATGCGAAGGAAGGAAAATGATTATTTGGCACCTTTTAGGAGCGAAAATGGGGGCCTAACATTCTGTTGGGGGTATGGCAATAAATAAAACACAAACAATGAAACACAAAGGATTTGAAAAAAAAAAAAACACAAAAAGCGAATTGGGGTTTGATGTTCAAATGATGATGATGATGATGATAGTGATAATATTATTGTGTAATGCAAACGTTGAAACACACAACAGTAACAAACATTCCCTATTTAACATAACATAAATGACTAAAAAAGCAGAAGATTTATTAGGATCAATGTAAATACGGTGTTAGATTGTGATTTAATACTAAAAGTTAATTGGGAATTTTAAAATCTGTCATAAGAAATAGGAACAATAGGCAAAAATACTCATGAGCTGAGTATTCTCTGTAGAAAATAATAATTGTACCAACAACTTTGTAAAATTTAATTTTTAAATTTTGTTTGCTGATGTTATTTTTGTAAATTTAAACTTAAAACATAGTGTGGCGCGTTCGCCAGCATGTACAGAATCTAACTTGGAATCTAGAAAATACTGGCCTTATTCTGGATTCTACACGAATAGATTGCGGATATATGATGGCCGGTATTAGTAGTTTTTAAAGGGGGTGTGATCCAAAAATAAAAGTTTTAGTGCAAAAAATTCTAAAAATAAATATTTAAACCGCATCTTGCTACGATGGTTCGTTTCCGAGTTAGGGCGGTTTAAAATTACAACTAGGTGTTTGTGACGTCACATTGGATTATCAGGGACAGTATTAACACGTGTAAGAATTTGCCAAAACAAAAGACAATAATTATCTCCTAGAGCGAATTGCAACCACTCAAAGTAGGTATAGGGTACGGTTCACTGATGATTGAATGAAAAGAAGACTGCGATTTCGGCGGTTATGACATCACAAGTTCCTGCATAATTTGTCTTCACAAGGAATTTCTCGGAGACTATTTTGAATATAGGACTCAGGTTTTCACGAGAGATCTTAGAATTTTTTTTCTTGATTTAAGTAGCTGAAGTCGTTTTTTAGGGTCACACCTCCTTTAAGTTTAAGCTTGGTTGTGATACGTTTTAGATAGTTATTATTGTTAAGAGTTGTAAAGAGTTAAGTTGTTTGAGTTATTTAGTAAAGTAATTGAATAAACTAACCCAAGATTTCTGTCACGCAAGCCAGAGTCGTGACATTGGTGTCAGAAGTGGGATATAATTCGAGGACTGCAAAGTGAAATCCGATTGCAGAATAGTGTGCGGACACTAGTGTGGACACTATAGTGAACACGATTGAAACAAGACGAAGAGGCTAGGCGACAAAAAGAGAAACAAGAAGAAGAAGCTAAACGACAATAAGAAAAACAAGACAAAGAGGCTAGGCCACAAAAGGAAAAACAAGAAGAAGCTAGACGACGAGAAGAAGAGGCTAAACGACAACAAGAAAAACAAGACGAAGAAGCTAAACGACAACAAGAAAAACAAGAGGAAGTGGCCAGACGACAAAAAGAAAGACAAGAAAACCTTGGATAGCTACAGAAAATATTTCAAACCATACACGGATTTGTCGCTAACCTAGAACAAAAGATTACAGAAGTCAAAGCCGAAGTTAAAGACGACGTTCGAGAAGTTAAAGACGATGTTGGAGAAGTTAAAAACGACGTTCAGGAAGTAAAAGCTGAGGTCAAAGCCGATGTTCAGCAATTAAGACAAGACGTTTAGGACCAAGTTCAAGCACTTGAAGATAAGGTGAATAAATTAGAAATACAGTCCATCAATCCAGTTAGTGTTAAGGCATTCTCTAGTATGAAGATAAAACCACCAACTTTTGACGGCTCTACGTCCTGGACCATGTATATCCGACAATTTGAAGCTGCTGCAAATACCAACGGATGGAACGATCAAGAAAAAGCATCAGCACTGATAGTGGCGCTACGAGGACCTGCCTTAGATCTTCTTCAGTCCATTCCTTCAATCTACCAACAGAATAACCAGCATCTAAGTCAGACATTACAATTGCGCTTCGGAGACCATTACAGACAAGAAGTATTTCGAACTCAAGTTAAATCATGAATTCAAAAACCCCGTGAGAGTTTACAAGGGGAAGATATGCAGGAAAGGATGGCAGTATCTGCGTTTATCGATGCCATTGATGGTCTCAGAGATCAGGAAAACCTGAGAATGTCTAAGTTCAGAAAAAGTAGTGAAGCCCTTGTCCAAGCACTAGAACTGGAAGCGATCTTTGGTGCCTCACGACCCAGAATACGAGCAGTATCCATTGAAGACCCAAAGGATGAACAATGGCCAAAAGAAGATGGTAGCTTCGAGAATCTTATGAGTAAGTTCATCGAGAAATTGGAGAACCCAGTACTAGAAATTAGAGAAATGGAAGACGACTCCAAACAAACATCAACACCGAGAAACCGAGTAAAATGTTACCGGCGCCAAAAGCTTGGACATATGCAATGGGATTGTAGACTAAGGATGTCCTCTCCATCTAGGGATCGTTCCCAACGCTTTTCGAGATCTAGAGACGCCAGCCTAAACATCGCAGTGAGAAGAACGGGTCTTATTGTTGATGATGAATGGACTACCAAACGAATGAGAGCAGATCAAGAAGCAGACCAGGACATTGGGCAAATTCTTCACCTCAAAAAAAAAAGATGAATGTAGAAGATGTATTAAAAGAAATACATGACGGAATTTCAGGGGCACATTTTGGAGTTAACAAAACTTTGGACAAAATTCAGGAACGTTTTTACTCGAACGAATAGCGGTAGATGTTGCCGGACCATTCCCCGAGTCAGAGCGTGGTAACAAATACATCTTGGTTATCATGGATTACATCAGTAAATGGCCAGAAGTGTTCGCTATTCCCAATTAAGAAGCCATCACTATTGCCCAGGTGCTAGTGGACGAAGTTTTCAGTCATCATGGTGTGCCACTAGAGTTGTATTCAGATCAGGAACGAAACTTCGAATCTGCCATTTTAAAGAAAACTTGTGAGATCACGGGCATTCGTAAGACAATGACAACACCTCTACAACACCACAGTCTGGATAAGGAAGTTATGTTGAGAGCCTTCCTTGATATAGAGGGAGCGTTTGACAACACTTCCTTCGAGGCAATCATGAGAGCTCTACGCCGACAAGGTATTGATGATACATGCTGCTGATGGATAGACTGCATGCTTCGAGGTAGAGTCATCTACTCCAGGCTCCTAGGTAAAACAGTAACGGCTCGGGTTGCAAAGGGATGTCCGCAAGGCGGAGTGTTATCACCCCTGCTGTGGAATCTGGTGATGGACCAGCTGATAGAGCTACTGAAGGGCAAAAACCATCAAGTAGTGGGATATGCAGATGACTTGGTCATAATATCCCAGGGAAAATTCAACCATACAGTAAGAGATCGCATGCAGCAGGCTTTAACAATTGTCTCTATGTGGACAGAGCCTGTAGGGCTGAAAATTAGTGCCACCAAATCGAAAATTGTTGCCTTTACCAAAAGAACGAAAATGGAGGAACTTGGACCTCTTTACCTTCAGAGAAACCCAGTTACGATGTCGGACGGAGTTGAATATCTTGAAGTCATAGACTCAAAATTAACTTGGAACAAACATCTGGACAAGGTAATTAAAAGGTCAGAACTGGTACTTATACTAGCCAGGAGAACCTTCGGAAAAACCTGGGAGCTGCGGCCGGACACCATATACTGGCTATACACAACTGTTGTAAAGCCAGCAATAACCTTTGCGTCTTTGATAAGGTGGACAAAGAGACAACAAGACAGAGCCAGAATGAGACTTGGCAGAGTGCAAAGACTTGCCTGTCTGGGCATTACAGGGTGCATGAAAAGCACACCAATAGCAGCTATGGAAGTCCTACTAGATTTACCTCCGCTACACATTGTGATTCAGGCGGAAGCCAGGATGGGCCTCCACAGACAACGAAACCTGAGCAAACAGTCAGATCAGGCCACACACAAATAAGGGAAGTCATAAATCTGACAGTATTGGACATGATAACTGACTATGCACTTTCCAAATACTCACCCGACATATCCTTCCAAGTCCTAATTAGTGAAAGGGGGGGAATGGGAAAACCAACATGCACTCTCCAATCTCAAAGGCCAGACCTGGTACTGGGTTGCGTCAAAGACCGAGAATGGCACAGGCGCAGGAATCTACAGTCAAGAAGGAAAATGCTTCTCTCTAGGGTTACATACATCTGTTTTCAGGCAGAAGTATAGGCGATACTGCAATTCACAAGAATCAACAATATGAGTGCCTGCAAAAACAGGAGACTCACTTTACTCACAGACAGTTAGGCAGCACTGGGGGCATTGAAGAACCCTAAGGCAAACTCTGCTCTGGTAATGTAATAGAATGCCAAGAAGAACTCAACAACTTGGCGGACCAAAAATAACGTCACATTGATGTGGGTGCCATGACATGGAGGTATCTCGGGCAACGAAAAGGCTCACGAACTTGCACGCAAGGGGTCATCCACAGAATACCTTGGTCCTGAACCAGCTCTCGGAGTACCCAAAAACACAGTAAGAAAGGAGCTGAAGGGATGGATCAAAGCAAAACATGCTCAATAGGTACTGGAAGCAAATACCCAATCATGCACATGGGAAAATCTTCGCACGTGAGACACGTAGCAAAAGAGCAAGAAGACTGCTACAACTAAGCAGGAAACAACTCCGAGTAGCAACCGGCTTTCTTACTGGGGATACCCCAGTAAAGAAACACCTGCAAATAATGGGCTTGTACAACGGAGACACGAGCTGCAGACCATGCGGAACAGAGACTGAAACAGCCCAACACAATTCAATGCACTAACTCGCAGAAGACAATATATTTTGGAGAAGATGAACTAGATCCAGACACATACGGCAAACATCCGACAGACCTACTTCATCTACTGCAGTGAACTAGGGTTTTGGAATGGGTGCAGTAAACAGGAAGATTCAGCACAATAAGCCTCTGGCTGCAGCACTACTCACAAGTTTTTAAGCACAATAAGCCTCCGGCTGCAGCGCTACTAGGAGTTTTCAGACAACTTCCCCAAAAAAATCCCAACTTTTCGAATTTATGAAATGGGCAGACCAGTTCAAACTCAAGTTTAACAATGTAAAAGAGATTTTTTTATGTTGAGAGTGATAGGTAGGTTTCCCAATATAAAAAACACTACACAAAAAAATTGTTAATTTTACTTGTATCCAAATTATCCTTATGATAATTATTTAAGCATAGATTTATGTTTCCCTCGAGGTTTGCCTATATTAATATTATTCACTTGAATATTCAGCAAAATGTGTTTGTCCATTATTGTTCCCAAATAAGGAGGCTCATCAATAACATGCAAATCATTTATTTTTATGTTTATTACTCTACTCTAGATGACTTTTCAGAACTCTGCTCTGAAATTTGTATTTATTTTTGCACAGTTTTTCTAATGTAATAAGTTAAAAGATAGACAACTCATGATACAATGTAACTTTTTTCAACTCAAAACAGTTTTTTTAAAAACCAGCAAACCAAACTTATTATGTGAAGTATTTTTACACATAGATATGAAAAACGTGCATACGTAGGTAGATAATTTGCGGGAATTCTAATGGGCTTCCTATCTAAACCGGGCCATTCTATGCTGAATATTGTCCTAAAAACTTACTACCTATCATATAAATTGAAAAAATCTAAACTAACTGAGTGGTTCAAGAATTACATATATTTATAAAAACAATAAGATACATTTTGAAATGTATTTTATTCACTTTTAAGTATATTTCCCAACACAAATTAGTTGCAATTTGAGACAACTATGTATAAGCCCATAAGTCGCTATTATAGCTCATGCACAAATAAACTAAATATGTTTTTGCAAATAAATATTGCACCATCGACGGTTATCCAGAACAATATTCTAATGAGAGCACCCAATCATGTGATAAGTCATGGAATTTGTATAATTTAGCATTTATAATCTTTACAACTGATAATCTTGAGCACATTCGGTTAATCGTTTTATAGTTTTCAACAACAAAAGATTGAATAATAATAATTTTGAAGCAAAGGAAAAACTGAATTTAGAAATGTGTATAATAAAAGCGAGTCTCTTCATTTAATTTCCAACTTCAAAAATCCAGTTTCTTACATTATTTGAATATTCCGTATTATTATTTTTCAACTACAACATGCGCATGAAGATTTCAAATGAAAAGGTGATAGCCAGAAATATGAAAACAATATTATTTTATTGTTCTATAAATGCATGCAAGAAATTCCCAATAAGTTCTTAAGCGGCTAAATGAGAAAATTAATAGGGTATATGCAGCTAAAAACATCAATAGACAGCTGCCTTCTAGTAGGTACTTGTATCTTGTAGGTATCACACAACCTTCCATTGTGAAAATGGGGGTTGTTTAGGAAAAGGTCTTATCAGTAGGATTTGTGTACTAAAAAACTGCTGTTCTAATAGGAATAGGCAGAGTTCATACCAGCATATCACGCAAGTATGAATATTTATGTTAAAAACAAATAAAATGGAAGCCCACCACACCCGAGACCACACCACAAGCAATTTGTTCTCAAATAGATAATTATTATACCTCTATTGACTTTTCTAAAAAACTGGATGCAAAACTGAGATGAAATCAATTTTTTATGAGTGATAAAAGATTCATTCTAGGATCCAATACACAAGCATCATTATTTCTCAAATAAAATTAATTTATTTTTTGAAACTTCCCAGCACCACAAAAACCTCGACAATACTTAATAGGAATCTTAGGAAAAATTTCGTAAAGTAACTGGAATCGCCAATCAAGCATTACATTTTTTTATAGGCTTTGTGAAAAAACAAACATTTTCTGTAGTTTCTAGGTAAAAATAGAATGTGTATGTGTTAGATATAAAAAAAAGGTAAGTCGAGAGGTAAGTATTATTATCCCAAAAATGAAAATGGAGGTTCAAACTTATTGAGGGTTTTTTTTTTCCTTCAAATCTAGACTTCCGCTTTTAAGGAGGGGCCCAAGCCAAACTGCAACAATTTTAGCAGTTTTGCGATACTAGCATTAATTTAGGAATTTGAATTACAGTGGTATAGCGTATAACATGAAATATGATGCTACTCATTACTGAGGAGTAGGACAAGAAATATCTCGTGAAGCCCATTTGAAATTCACTGAAGAAGTGAATAGCAAGCTCAGTAGTTAACGCACATTCGAGCCACATTAGTTGTTAAAAGCAATAGACCTCGCAATTGCTTCCCATCTATGGAACTTGAATTTTACACCCCAATGAGAAGTTGCCACCAATCTTCAGTGTCGTTCTGAGGTTAGCTTGAAAATATTGAGGAGTTCCACCTAAGGAGGTAACTGGCTATAAGTATATCAGAAACAAATAACACTAGAACTTTGGCAAAAAAATTATTAATACTAGGGCCAATGGATGGAAATGATTTTCAAGTTTGTACGATAGCCGGTACGGTAGGGATCACAAAGGTAATTAATGTCAAAAGATAAAAATATAATTTAAAAAAAAAAAAACTACTGGATAAGGTGCGGCCGAGGGTACGGCAATAAATATCACCATATCGGCATAATTTAAAAATACAAAACAAAAAAAGCCTTTTGTAGGGCCAATCAAATCTTCCAAATGAAATCAAGTTCATTGAAATCGCTTTAGCAGTACTGAAGTTATGAGAATTTTTCTAAATCGAAGTTCAAGCTCCCCCACTCCTTTATTTCACATCAAACAAAACACAGTTTACTTTGTATTTAATACACTTTTACAAAAAAATATATCGATATTTTGAATAAAAATATTTAATAATATGAAATCAACATTTCTTTGTGTAACAAGTAGATATTGTACCTAGTTAGGGCAAACGATTTATGTTTTATTTTGCCTACATTGCAGATTGTAGCTCTACCATAATCAAATATCTGTCTGAGTATCTGTTATACCTTTAAAGGCCAGTTTATTCACTGTCAGATATGCAATCTGATGGATAAAAACGGAATCTGTATAGTTCGTTCATAAAGTCTATAGACTTTTTGTAGTGCATGATCTGAGATTTTGGACGCTGATTGGCTAGATTTTGGGGCCTCACTACTCACTAGAGCCTTGGGTTAATCGTTTAAATATAAAAAGTGGTAAATTTGAAAAGCTGCCTGATGAATGTTAACTAAGTAGTGGGTATAATTTGAAATAAGTAATAAGTTAAATATGCGCAATTGGTTAATGAAATTATTGAAAGTTTGTGGCTAGTATCCATAGGTATGTGGATGTCTCAATGGAAAACCCAATATAATTTATGAGAAAATGCTAAAAACCTTTATTTTGCATCCAGTTGTTTATGTTTATTAATAATACAGAGTATTAGATGTGAATATTTACCTTGTGCTTCTATGAGAGTGTTGCCTGTAGTTATTTCTATCGCGGTGACTGCGAGAGCGCCTAGATCTCGAACTATTTTCAGACTTTATAGATTCAGTTTCCATGATACTAACACTTTCATTACCCATAAAATAGCTCCAGGATGTCGTATAACAAATTCATTCATCGATTCCTTTTGCCCAATTAGAGAAATACTGGATTTTTAACAAATTATTGGGAGTTCATTGACTCGCTTGATGAGGTGTTGACGTTATGTAAACATTGCTGAAATTTTCAATGATAAATAGGTTTGCAGTACACTTCACTGATATCATTGACTAGCCAAAGGATGCAGTTATGATTTTTTACTAAATTTGTGCACTTTTAGGACATTTTTGGCGAATTACTGAATGAATTTGTTCATTCACGGAAAAGTTAACATGGCTACCCAAAAACGCAGCCGGTTGACAGTAGGGAAGGGGATCGATGATGGATGTCAACTTGCAGCTTTTCGCGCAAGCTCTCCGAAAGCGCAAACGTCGAACACTTTCGAGTCACTCCAAAGTGCGGAACAGAACAGGTATCAGGTCGTTACCATTGTGAGTCCTTCATGAATACCCACTCAAGTAAACTTGACCAGCTATAAAAAAAAATGCTTTTACGCCATTTTTTTTTAAAACTGCAACATTGCCTCTTTGTGTTTCTGTCTACAAAAAAAAAAAACAAACTTGTCCCCAAAAATTGCAATAGATGGCGTTCACGCAGGCCCTTCCTAGTGCAGATTTTGCAAATGCGAAATTAAAGGAATCTGTAACTTTACTCCAAGGCCTCATACTACCTATCAAATGTTGCCAAATCGATTTGAAAATCCTAAGTTTTCCCTCCTTATTTATACCATACGGAAAAAACAAATTTGGGGGCAGGTGAGCCACTCCTTCTTCTATTCTATCCAATGAACTGTTCTATCACTTCTATCTTCATTATTATTTTTTAATATCCTTGACAAGTAGGTAGCTTATTTGTTGGGATCGACTTTTTAGTACTCCGAATTTTCCACTTTTTAGGAACGTATTTTCTTGAGAATAAAATTGCGCAACCTTGCCTCAATTTAACTCACCTGGTAGGAGTTCACCCTCGAATTTGGAGCACCCTGTATACGTTGGACACGTTTGGGGAAGGGTGTTCATTTGTATTGTCCGTCGATTTTAATCTGATACTCGGACGGAATGTGAGCTGGTGGCTCCCTACATTAGAACGCCAATGGTTACCTGATTTCACACCTGTTTTTGCCATATGAAACACCCCCTCGCTCCTCATACGGAAAGTGTCAGTTAAAAATCGAGGAACAATACCTACTTGCTCTCCTGCTCGAAAAAATCAGAAAGATCTGCTAGGAACAAGGGTGAAGGTTGTTTGAGAGAGGTATTTTTATTCTGACTTTGAAACACGATGAGGATATTTCAACATCACGTCGCTCTCTTCTATTAATTTCATAGAAAATCTTTTGTAAAGTTTCCCTGTACAAAATATAAGCAGGGAGGAATATCGCTACAGTAGCCCAAAATAATAATTTAGGTCGGCACACGCCTTTAGGTTGACTTTATTGGGGTGGGCTATACTTACGTCTCCCCGAAGGATGCAGGTGCGCTCTAACTACGCGATTTCTATAACCAGTGTCATCCCAATAAAGATACATATTATGTATATTATTTGCTGTTTAATTCCAGGTATTATTCATAGCTGTGCTGTTTGATATATGGATTATTACCATTTGAAGAAATAAAAATTATGTGACGTCCTTTATTTGTTTGATGTACCATCGTCACCAAAAGTAACTGGAACACAAATAATGCATAATAATCTCCTGGACTAATTCTACTGTCATTCATTTCAATGCATTTAATGCATAGTTTGACAAATATTTGACAATAAAATTCGTATAATAGGACAAGAGCTAATGTGATGCTGTCCCAGTTACTTTTGGTGACGATGGTACGTATGCCGACTAGAAGTTTTTTAGTGTTTCAATTCGAATTAAAAATACTATTATAGGTTGCCAGATAACTTTTATGACGTCATCTGGGGTGCCTTAACATAATGCAAATCTCCATAAGGCATCCCAGATGATGTCATCAAGTTACCCATTACCAGACACTGAATGAAATTAATATAATTTTTTTTTGTTAAAATCTCGGGTAATACACTATTTAAATAGATGTCGCCCTTTTTTGCTTGTTCTGCTCCAAGGTTCCTGAAATTAATAAATTGTCTGGAAATGAGGATTACCCAATATAATCAAACAGAAACCTTTGGAAAAATTATGTCGCGAAAAATAGCCTTATGTTGAAGCAGAAGCACCCCAGATGACGTCATAAAGTTAGCAACCTACCTCTCTCAAACAACCTTGGTCCTTGGTTAGATGAAGGACCAAGTTCTTTTTGTAAAAAGGACTTCCATTGATTTTTTATATATTTTTCAAAAAAAATTGGTCCTGCTGCCGGATTCTATTTTGCAAGTCGAGTCGGATTGTCTGTTATGACACTCGATATCGAATACGACAGCTCCGGACGTACCGTGTTAAATACGTATCGAAAAATAGAATCGCTATTTTGACAATTCGATACAAATTTCGACTCGATTCGTAAAATAGAATCCGGCAGCTATTATTTTTGGAGCAGCTCGTAGCTACTCCGAACATTAAATTTTGTACTTTATTTGCCATCTCCTTCCACTAAAGCTAAACAAGGATGATGAAATTATTCTCTTTTTTCAATAATCGGTGCTCCTCAACGCCAGCTTCCCCACCACAAAGGCTTCGCCCCAGTGCGCGATGCAGTTGCAATGCAATTGTACGCATTTGGCCAAACTGCGCTTACGCCCGGGAGTCAAGTGCAACCAATCACATCTAATTATTTAGCATCATGTGACATAACATTTTTTGAGGAGAATCCAAACAGAAACAGCGTTGCCAAAGCTATACCACCGAAACGCGGAAGATCCCCTGTCTAGCACAATAATTTCAGAATACTTGCTTCTTTTATCAAGTAATTTATTCTAGAAGTCTGTTTTTAAAAAAATAAATAACTGACATTATTGATAGGGGTGCTCATTTGTCATTGAGTAATTTGTACATGCTCTACCTCTCGAAAAATCAGGAATATCTGCTGACTAGTGCTGACTGCTAGGAGCTATTATTTAATTAGGCAATTCAATCCATCTGTCAAAAAGGAAAATTCAATGTGGCGCGGCGGCCATGCAAGTTTGTTTTGAATATGTTTTTATGCGTATTTCAAATTATTTTGCATACAGTTTTGCTTACAACTTTGATTTTCATTATTTAATAAAATATTTGTTGACTAGGTACCTAAACTATTAATTCGGGCAGAGATTAGATATTTTTTTGTGTTTTTTGGCTCATGTGTGGCCGCCACGCCATCTTGAATGTCACGTGGTTTGAATTGCCTAATTTTATAAAATTGACACGGCAAATAAAAGTCTAGCAAAAGTTTCGTGAAAATATTAGTTGATATTAGTCATACGCAGGCGCAGTTACGTTTTGCCATCAATAATATCAAATCGTAACCTCATACTTTGATAAACCAGAACAAATAAAACTTCCGTTTTCTAATTGTTGTTGAATCTTTGTACCCCCCTGCAGTTTCATAAAGTTGAATTTGTTTTTTCCTTCCATAAATAAAGTTTTTTTTTTTTTTTTTATTTGCCCAGCTGTTTTTGGGTGCATTACTTTTTTCACCGATGAGCAGAATATCCTTATCTATTACATAGGAAATCAATAAAGTATGAAATAGTAGGTATGCTATTTATGTTTGTGAACAAACTTTCGGGCCTTTCGGTTTCTTGTTGACTGTGCCCCATGGCCATTTCGCATAAAATAGAACTAAAGTTTGTTTTTATTTATATTTCAATTTTTTTGGAGTAGTCTACCCGATAAAAGGGAGCTTGTGGCAACACTGACTGCAACTTCATTCTTCCTTCCGCAATTCAATCCATCTGTCAAAAAGGAAAATTCAATGTGGCGTGGCGGCCAAGCAAGTATGTTTTGAATATGTTTTTATGCGTATTTTAAATTATTTTGCATACAGTTTTGCTTACAATTTTGATTTTCATCATTTAATAAAATATTTGTTGACTAGGTACCTAAACTATTAATTCGGGCAGAAACTAGATATTTTTTTGTGTTTTTAGTCCCATGTGTGGCTTCCACGCCATCTTGAATGTCACGTGGTTTGAATTGCCTTTTTGTTACTAGCTGCATTTTGGAGTTGTTTGGTTTGTCCTTCAGTGGTAACTGGTAGACATATTTCCTTTTGCTATTTCGCAGAAAAACATCATTTTATCCTAAAAGTTGTTTTGAAAGGTAAGTTTATTTTATTTTATTATGATTTCTTGGTGAAAAATGCATAGGTTTGCTTGTACACTACATACCGGGACCTATTAGGTTTGGTCGCCAAAGCCTAGGCAAAAGGATTGTCTGCAACTGGCAATTTAAAGTTTTTTAAAGTTTAGTACAAAATAATAACCGTTTTTCGTTTTAATCGCGTGACGAATGACCAATTTAACATAAATGATATCATCATTCATCACCTGATCTGTACCTGACCGGAGACCTCACTATCCTTAGAATAATACTTCATCTATCATCATTTGTATTTCCAATAATGCACATCATTCCAAAATAAGGAATTTGTTCATTCAGTGAATGCAAAAATTAGATTTAACAATATAAGTACCAAGCTAGGTACCAAAGTGCAGATTGTATAAAAAAAAGCTATTTTTGTCGTAGACCGTATTTGCCTAAAAAATTGTGTTTGTGTTGTGTTGTGCTTAGTGCTTCCAATCAAGAACCCAATCGATCATTGACATCACTGTTGTTTCTTCTAGATACTTATCAGCCCTATAAATAATATCCTCCTCCACAACTGAGCAAAATGGCAGCGGAAGCAGCTGAAGATGCAAGAAATGCAGTCACTAGATTTTTCGACGACGTTGGCAAATCTGACGCAACAAAACAACTTTTGATTGGAACACTATCAGGATTTGCCACTGGCTTCCTTTCAATGAAAGCAGGTAAAGCTGTAGCTGTGTCCGTAGGAGGAGGTATTATTTTATTACAAGTGGCCAATGATCAAGGAATTATTAAAGTAAATTACAATAAAATGAATAAGAAGATAGATAGAGTTGTGAATAAAGTTGAACAAACTTTAACTGGACATAAAGAAACTTGGGCTGATAAAATTGTTAAGTTCACTCGAAGAAATACTCCTTTCACTGTTGGCTTTGTTGGAGGTGTTCTTATTGGAGTTGGAATTTCTGCATAAATGTTACAATATATTATCTCGTAGAAAAAAACCTTAGCTTTAGGTTATTAACTATGTAGAGCATAGTTTTAAGTGAAACGAAATATGTATTAATAATTTACTTGTATAAATAAGAATCTTCCGAAGAATCTTTTATAGTAGGTAATAATGTATTGTATTGTATACCTCATATTGCCTTAATTTTTGGACCCAAATTAAAATAAGGTCTTCAGAAGTTTTTGCTTGAATCTCTTTATTATTTTTGAATGTTTGATAACCTTTAATCAGAATAAGAAATTTGCAAGTTTATAAAATAAAATTAACTACTAATTTAGTTTAGAATCTTTTTCCAGCAATAAAGAGATTACTAATAGTATTGAGATAGATGACGGAAAAATCAGCTCCATCAATTTTTAGAACCTATTTTTTCATGTATATTTTTGTGCTACTTGGATTTAGTGTTCTTTTTGATTTTACGCTTGTATTAATTTATTAAATGCCATAAACTTCATATTGCGTTTATTTATCAAATTTTGTTTCTCAACCAACAACCGGGGGAAATTTTTACCTATCACCTACTCCTAGTAGACGATTCTGGAGACTTTTGCAACATCTTTTCTATGATCTGATTTTTATTTATTTATGTTGTTGTCAGGGTTCCTACAGATAGAGATTTGACCACAGAAAATGAAAATATAATTATTTCATCATTATCTCCAGTGCAAAGGTTGTATCACAAACATTTTCTGACCCTGCTATAATATCAATCACAGTGAATAATTCTAGGGATTGAAAGAAATTGAACTTTATACCAATTAAAAATTAGTTTCATGATGAAATACATTTATTTATTCACTGGTAAAAATCACCCTTTAGGCTCATGTGCACCACAGTGCACCTCCCTATCCTCTCGAAACCTATTTAACTAAACAAAATTTCCCCTAAATTGGTTAGGTACTGCTGCACTTCCACTGAGAGCTCATACTGGTTCCGAGGTTGGTATATGGACCTTTCTCATTTTACCTGTGTTGCGCGCGCAGCTTGTGGGTGACAAATAATAAAATTGTCAATTGAATGAATGCGGGAACGCGGTCTGACCCTGACGTTTTTTAAGCTAACCTCAATAATCATTCAATTTTGCTGAAAATTATTACAAAAACTGTTTATTATACAATGGTTCAAATGTGTTGTGTGAGATCTTGTCAGAGTAAGGCGAAAAAGAAGTCAAACCTTTCTTTTCACAAGTTCCCAAACAATCAAATTTTAAAAAAACAATGGTTACATGCTTTCAACTTGACTGAAGACGATTTAAGTTGGAACAGAGGTTTGACGGTTCGTAAAATAACGATTTCTATATCAAATACAATAATAATTGTACGATTAAAGGTTTGTTAGCACTTGCAAATTCGTACTTCTAAAATTTTTCTAAACTTTTCCCCCACATATTTGTCATATTTACATTTAAAAATAAACAAAAACAGAAACATAACCGAAATTGCACAATTTGACAAGTGGAACCAATCAAAGTCATTCCACACAGGTATCCCGCGTCATTATATGTGTCTCTTTCTTAATTACATGAATTTTAAGGTTCGTTCCAACCCAGCCAAAAACCGTACAATGTACGGTCACGGTCATGCGCCATAGGTTAAACGCGTTCCAACCGAGAGATGATCGTTTACCGTAGTTTCGTTGGCGTTCCAACCAAACCTGGGATCGTTCGAGAACTGGTTTTAGCACCGTCATTTCGATCCAGAGTGGAAAGCAAGAACTGCGTGGACTGATTCATGACTGACATGCGTAATTCAATTTTTGTCACCTGTTTTTGTTGTTCATGTTGTTGTTAAACAATAAATTTCCAATCTAACTTATAAAAATGTAGCATTTTTATTTTTTCAAGTGAAAAAAAGTACAAAATTTATTATCAGCTATTTGCTAATCCTTGATGTTATCAGCTTGCAAGGATTCAGTTTTAGATTCTTGATAATGAATCAGCGTTGGTGTTCAATTTTCCTTTTTTATATATTATTTTGTAATCCTAATCCTATATTCTTCTATTTTAATTTGCAAACAAACAAATTTAGGGTTAAAGTTATTTGAACTGTCGTTATTACGAAAACGATCATGAAACCGTTCCAACTACCCGTTGTTTCTGTACCAAGATAAAACCGTGCAAGGTCAACGCATGCGCCTGCAATCGATCCTAACAGTTCCGAAACCGTTTCATGACGATACGAAAACGGGGGGTTGGAACGAACCTTTAATAAACTATCCTTGTTGTTCATTGCATGAGAAAGGTCCATTGTGTTTTTTAAAATGGGTTAGATTTTGTGACTTAAGTGCTGTTTTTGGGAAATTGCTCCTTGTGGAATTCAAGACTCCAAAATTCTAGCCTAGCTGTGAAAACTTTACATAATGATCACTTTAAAAAATATTCATATGTACACTGTATTTCTAAAAGATTAACAAAGATGTGAAAATATCTCATACCTATATAGGTTTTCCTGTATTCTTCTTTTGTCGAAAACTTTGGTCATTGTAGCTTTTACGAGTTGCTCAATTATTGGGAATGTTGAACTTTTTCATGGCTTCATTCAGTTTGAGTCTCAGCAATGTTTCAATGTCAATACCACTGTGAAATTTCCTGAAAGGCTTCCAAAAATATACTTGAACGACTAAAAACAACACATATTTTTGAAATTTATTTGCACAACTGGACTTCTCTACACCATTTGTTAGGCATCTATTTGTCATCACCTTGCCAGACGCTTCATTGTGCTCCATACTTCTTGCTTTTGGTTTAAAGTTGATTGTGTAGGTGTTTCATTCCTTGTCACTTGTTATAAGAATCTCAATTGTTGACTTACTCTGAGGTATCTGGATATTCATTTTAATATTAATTCGAGGTTTTGTAGTCATGACTTTGATCTTATAAAAATTACTATTTCTAAAACGTATAGGGATCTTACATTACAAATCTAATTATTATATGTACAGGGTGTCCCAGGTAAAAGTAACTATTTACATGGGGATTTCGGAAAATAATAAGAGATACAATTTTGATCAAATGGGAAAAAAGTTGCGGTTTTCCGAATCCAATCAGATGCTGTATCGAAATTGAAAATATATATTGTTACAAAGCTATGACAACAAACACAAGTTTAGTTTTTCCTCGATATTTTGAAAACCCCTATACAGGGTGTTGGTTTTAAGTGTATCCACTATTGCTATCTCCGAAACGGTAAGAGGCACGAGGTCGATTAAATTATAAAAAAAGTTGCCTTTTTTGGTGCCCATTCAATACTTGTTTACAGTGTTGTCAAATTCCTTCTAGTTTATGAAATACAGGGTGATTTCTAAGGAACGCCTGAAAATATTTCATCAATTATTTCGAAAAATATTGATTTTCGGGACACAATTTGAATTTGAAAGTTTTATAATTTTTATCGCTCTACAATATGGCATTTTCAAATTTCAAATCCGACGTTTCGTGAACGAGCTACCATCATCAAGTTCAATTTTTTTAAATACGGACCTGAATTTTTTATATGATTTTTACATAGCTCCCTTTATTCCCTTTTTAACGATATACCTCTTGAGCACAGTTCGGATACCTAGAAACGTAGAAGCGGGAGAAACCGAATGTGTTTATTGCCTAACCCCTACCTCTCCTGTCTTGGAGGCTTGCCCCCTAATGATTTTTCTAAAATGAGAAACTACCCCATGTGATGTGTCCTTTGAAAAGTTTTTTATCCCTCTTTAGAGGCGTGACCATTTCATTTTAGCTACAATATAGAACATGATCACTTGACTCTTCATCTGAAAAACACAAAAACAATTTTGCCTGGCAAAGTTGAAGAGCATTTAGCTATTCTATTAAAGCCCCATTAGGCTCAATTCACTTGACACCACGTTGTGCAGCTGACACCCAACAGCAAATCATAATTCAACCATTTCTCGCCGGTATTCGGTAGTGCCCCACTGCTATACTTACCTTTAATAGTATAATCGTGTAACAAAATGACATCCTTACCTATTATGGCGTACGGCTTCCCCGGGGGACACCAATTACCAAAAAGAAATAAACCATGATTTGTTGCCTTGGATATCAGTGAAACGCAACTTCATTTCTTAAGACGAAGTTATTGAAAACATCTACAGACAAATGCTTAAAGTCTTATACCAAACATGCTCAACTAGAAGTGGCTTACCAAAATTCTGATTTGAAGAAGGGCAGTTAGGATCATACCTTAAGGTGAGTTTACACATGCATGGATTTAGTGGCGCCAGTGGTCGCGCCAGTTCTATTTGCACGCCAGTAAAGGTTTACATACTTTGTGTGAAAAACAGAAATAAGTGGCACGCCAGTTTCACTTTTAAAGTGCTTTTCTCAGTGTGCACTATGTCGAGTGAACTTTTCGAATCCTGTAAAATAGTCGCTAAACTTTTAGTAAAAAAAAAGATAAAAGAAACAGAAAAAGAAATGCAACCAACGAAATGGCCATTTCTGGGTTGAACCATGGATTGGTCGTCGACCCACTTTGGCTGCTTCTGCAAAACTTCTAGGAGAAATCGCAGCAACTGAAATGAAAATCAAACGAAAAACTGGCGAGCGGACGACGACGTGCAAGCACTTGTTTACACTTGCAAGTTTTGATTTTCTATACGAATTTGTCACCACTGGCGCCAGTGATTTCAGAAGGATGCAGACTTTTTTGGACTATGCATGCAAATATAAAATGTGTATGCAAGTCCATGTTTACACTTGCT